TAACACTGTCTGATTTCAAGCGAATGTTAGTAGCACCGATAAGAGGTAATTTATGACCAGTTATGCCTGTAATTGAACTACTAGTAGGGTCCACCTGGGCATGCTTACGAAACGATAGTAAATCTTCCTTTGAAATTATAGATTCAGTACTCCTAGTATCAATTATAAAACAGTGAGACTTGTCTGAACTTGTAGTGAAGGTTCTCATTAGATGAGACTGAGTATTGGGAAAAGTTGAAAGAGACATCGACTTCATTTTACCAGACATTTTGGGAGAATCATGAGAATTCTGAATAGCATAAGTATTTGGAGTCCTGCAGACAGACTTTATGTGCCCAATTTTACCACATGTGTGGCACTTAGCACCCCGAAAATGGCAAGTGCTTCGTAGATGAATCTTTCCACAGGAAAAAAATGGTTTGATGTTTTTGCTCTCTGTCTGCATTCCATTATATGTGGATGACAGTTTTGATTTCTTTCTATGAACACTTGTATTATCAACTTTGGACAGCTTCACACTAGACACTTACGTGGTGGGGGCTGGATATTCACTGTTGACATCTTCATATGTAATACATAAATCCTTAGGAGTCTGAATGGTGCAGGAAGGAATCTGAATCTTTCTGTGACTTGGGAATACTGATTCCAGCAATTTTACGATCACGTAGTTGAGTATGCAGCTGATCTCCAAAGTTGCACTTTGAAGCTTGTATCTGAAGCTGAAGAATAAAGTCTCTAATCTTCTGGGTTGGGAGGACGAACAAGTTTGTTGAACTGAGCCCTCTCTCGTGTTCCGAAAGTTGTTATGTGGAAGTGATCTGTGAGGAGTTCACGGAGTTTATCATATGAGAGAGAAACTGGTTTATCTGGAAATGTCAGAGTTTTCATTAGGCTGTACGCATCTAGCCCAATAGCAGTAATAAAATGAGCGAGCATTCTTCGACATGCACCATGCGTCGCAGCATTCAAGATAATCGGCTATTCCTCGAGGTGAACCATTCAGAGGAAACTTTCAAAGATTATTTAATTCCATAAAGACGCCAAAATGTTATAATTATTTGTAGTAGTAGTATTTCGGAATGACCCAGTTACAGGAAACCAATCAGCACCACAAAGAGGCATGAAATTAGGAATTTGTATTTGGTGAGATTGTTTTCAATTCATGGCTAAAAGATTTCCTATCAAAGGCTGTTCTGATGTTCATCATTTGTGATAACAACATCTTGAATCTTCATGAGTTCGTTTGGTTGGGATTTGATTCATTTCAATTTTGGTCATGGATTGACATCAGTTAAAGAAGCATTGAAAAGCAGAACCGGAGTACTGGAGGACTGTTTCTTCAGCCTAGTTTGGGACTCCTCGGCAGTACACATCCACTGGATTTCGAACTTGAAACAAATCAAATTTCTACAAAACAAACCCATGAAAATTAATCTGATGCTCGCTAGTGACCGACTGGATGCAGAACTAAGTTGCATACTTGAAATTTTAGTAGGAAGTCGTGAATAGTGGGGTTCACCAGGTAGGCAGTAAGGACAGGTGCTCTCCAGCAATGGTGCCAGTCGCACGAAAGGAAGTCACGAAATGATAGAAGAGATGGGTCGGTCATTGAGTTGACTCCCAGTGACTGAGTGATCCATAACCTTGGCCTGCAAGCGGAACGGCACGGGTACGAACCCCAATAGAGTGGATGCGTACTGCCGATGCGTCGCAAAGTAAGCTGACGAAATAGCTCTCCAGCACTCCAATTCTGGTTTTCAATTGTTATCTAACATGCATCAAGCCGTAGTCAAACTTGAAACAATATTCTGAATATCTGCAAAGTGTAGGCTCTAGTTATATATGTCCAAACCAAGTTCACTTTTAACGGTTTGAAAAAATTTTGGCATTGGGTATGTGATATTCATTATAATTAAGGTTATTTTTTGTATTTCCCGATGAATGAAAAACAAAATGATATTCTTTTTACTGAAGTTTTGCTATTTAATGCTAATAGCTTTATCAAAGTATTATTAAGCCGGAATTTAAAAAAATTTCAGTGTATATATAACAAAGGGTTAAGGGGTGAGAAAATAGACTTAGGTCAACTTCAAAGGACATATTTAAAGTGAAAGTAACAATGAAGGTCACTAAACTAAATATTAAAGGTAATAGTATGATATCAAAATAAAGTTTACTAACTTGATCATCGTTCGTCTGTCTGGGGTCGTTTTCAAGCTGGTCAATTGGTCAAGATAACAAAATCAAGTGTAGATTGTTGGATTTGATCAGTGTGTAAAATTATAAAAGCAGTGTGTGTTTACATAGTGAACTTGTTTATCACATTTATGTTGATTTTGTTACTTCATGGTGGAGGGGAGAGAGGTGTTGTAACCAGGTCAGATTCTGTTTTAGTCCATCATTCCTACTCAGTTCAGACAATTTGGATTCCACTTGATATGAAGTGCTTCTGATATTAGACGTTCTTTGTGATTACTGGAGTTTTTCTGGATGACGATTTCAATATTGTCAAAATCAATTTTGTGGCCTGACTCTATAGCGTGTAGACCTATGGCTGATGATTTTTCAAGCTTTTCCAGTTCAACCGGATGTCTTGGTAGTCGAATAGATTCTCTACAGTGTTCATTCCTTCTGATTTTGATTTCTCGAGATGTTTGTCCGATATATATTGCATCACATTCCAAGCATTTTATTTTATAGACAATTTGATAGAGAATCCTTAGGAATTTGATCTTTTATATGGACCAGGTTGCTTTAAAGTGTGTCTGATGTTTTGAAGAAGACTCTAATGTCGAGCTGATTGAGTACTCTTCTGATATCGTTTGACATCTATGCTCTATGTGGAATGACGACTGTTGATGTCCATGTTTTCGGAATGCGTGTTCGTAGGCTCTAGTGATTTCAGCATTTTGTTCAAGTGATATTAGTGTGTAGGTTATGATAACTGTATCAGTTCCTAGCAATATTATTGTGAACAAGACTGCCTAGTTTGAAGGCTATTTATCTGAACAACTCACTGAGCTTTTCATTACTCTTTGTCATCGCAGTTCAAATGGCTTACTAGACAGATCCCATTTTTCAACTAAAAGAATCATTGATACAAGTGAAGGATAATGATAAATGGAATGATAAACCGGTCATATCAACTAGATAAGTTTTAAATCATTTTCTTTAACTTTTTATAGAGTGAAGTACTCATTACAAAATTAGAAATTGATTCAAATAAATTCAAACATTTGAGAATAAATCATTTTACCTCCAAAGAAGTAGATGAAGGCAAGTTTCCCTGTTTCAATGTTTTTAAAGCATTGCATTATTTTACTGTATGGTAGAAGCATATCGTTTTTCAAGCGTTATTTTTGGTACATCCTTCCCAACAGGGTTCTTAGCATTCTTGTTTTCTTTTCCAGGTGCACAGGGGTACTGGACAAGAAGCAAACGAAGCACGAGATCCGACGGACAAACATCAACGAAGCAATGTCCAGACAACCTATCAGCATAGGTAGACGACCAGTAGGCACTCCACCAAGCCTCTCGGAAGAGTTTATTTTACTGATGGGGAACCATCGAGTTTTTTTACTTTCCGCCTGGTTCTGTCTTAGGGGGGTCCCCACAAACCCACTGGCGGGGAGGGAGTGAGCTGTAGCGGTAAATAATTCCCCAAAATTATTGACCACAGCACTCATTACTGAACATTAGATGCTGGCCATCACTGTTTAAGTTGACATGTTTAACTGAAGGCTTCAAGTCAAGAATCTTCGCCATTTGGTACACTGTCGTGTCACGTTCATGCACGATCACTAGCCAGTTAAGCAGTCAATCCTACACTACGATTTGACCCTGAAATACACTTAGTAATTTGGACGACCAACTTTGGTCTTCGCTTCGCCTTTTGTCTACGCGGAACAAATACTATGATAGAGAAGATTTGTAGCTCAGTTGGATGACTTTGAGGTGGTTGCGTTCTCTGAGCTGGATAGTTGATTTACGAAGCTTTCATAGCCCTAATTACTAGGCAACATCTTCAGTGCATACTACAATTTACTGAAGTGAGCGTCGAGATTTCTCCACGAGTTTATTAATCATCTCTCCTGGTGGGTGACCTTAGACATGATTGGTTGTTGTGGTGATTGACAATTTCTATCTCTGTATTGTTTAAGTACTTACTGTTGATTGCTAATATGTTTCATATATGAATTGCATTAGAATTCCGCTAAATACAAATTCCTGAATTCCGCCCCCTCTGTGTTTTGTTTGGATTCTTGTAATTCGGTCATCTCGAAATACTAATACTACGATTACAATAAATTACCACAGTTGTTTTTGTGTTTTTTCACACCTTCTAGGTTACTTGTATTGGAACTGATTGGAACATATCCCCCCAAGCCAACCTATCAAAGCAAAAGCCCCCAAGGAAAGCGCAAACAAATCACTACAAGACTCTTCAAACCTTCAAGAGTTGACGTCGTGAACATACCAACAAAGTCACTTTCCTCAATTCTATGTCAACCAAATGACTCAACAGCGAAAGAAGACAAAACCAACATCGTCTACAAAATAAATTATAACAACTGCGAAAAACACTACATTGGCCAAAGTGGACGTCCCCTTCGTTTTCGTATCCGCGATCATCAACTAACCATCAAAAGACATGATATCCACTCCCTCACTCATATCACTACATACAGACAACCACGGACATCAATTCGACTGGGACATCCAACGTTCGAATATTAGACAGAGGAAACAACAAGAATGCTAGAGAATTCCAGTGAATCATCAATCAATAGACACATCGAAAGAGAGACAAAATTTATCAACCAATAAGAAAGAAACTTCACACACAAAGGGTCAAAGTTCAAGCCAAAGAAACAAACAATCAGTTCCAATACAAGTAGCTGCCTAGAACGTGTGAAAACACACAGAAACAACCAATCACGTCTAAGGTCACCCACCAGGAGAGATGATTAATAAACTCGTGGAGAAGTGTAAAAGCTCACTTCAAATTGAAGTATGCGCTGAATATGTCGCTTAGTAAGGCGATGAAAGCTTCGCAAATCAACTATTCAGCTCAGAGAACACAACCACCTCAAAAAAATGAATACTATAGAAGTTTTGGTTATTAGATCTTGGGTTAGTATACTTCGTACTATCCGTGAACGTCAATACCGTCAGTCTCTAAAAAAGCTTTCAAATACAGAGAGCAGCATAACAGTAAAGAGATTAGGTAATATGAATAAATATTGAATATTGAATTGCAAAGCATACTTAAAATAAAGGATTGATGAATTGGATTACATAATGGTGAAAAAACTACAACAACAACAACAACAACCAGGTATGCTGATCGGATCTAATTACATTTGTTTACCAGGATTTTTAGTAAATATTGAATGCACACATAAAACGAATAGTTTAGATACACATTTTGAAATATAAATAATTCATATTTCTGTTACCTTACTCTTCTTCTTGTTATTAACATTATTCTTATTTCGAATTGGAACGGGTGTTTGTGATTAAAACAATCTCTAGTCTCATGAAATTTATCAACCAAGAATGTTTATTATTGATTATATTGCTGATAATAACAATCACGATTCATAAAACAGACGGTATGTTGTTTGACTGACTGACTGACTAACTTTGAAGGATTGTAATCATGCATATATATCGCGTCAAAATATACTAATATACAATTGTGATATGTGATTCACGAATTAATTTTATAAAGTATCGGTTTTGAGTCAATTCACACACACAGGCAGTAAGATGGCAAAGATGTCAAATGTGGTGATGGTGGTGTGTGTGTGTGCCTATTGTTGACAGTTGACTATGCATGAGAGATTGCATCCAACTATTCAAATTATATAAAGATCAATATCCACTGACAATAATATCTCAAGGGAAATGAATGAATGGTGGATGGATTTGTGAAACGGATGATATTCAACAGCCGACGTTTATCCATGAATGACGAAGAATTCGAGGATTTATTAGACCAGTCAGGGAATATGCTAAACAGAAATGTTCAAGCAAAACATAAAATTACTGCTGTGCAACTATGGTCCTTGATTTTATAAAATCTTATCATACCTTAAGTTAAAGGTAGTCACTTAAGTGATAAACATTGAGATAAGTAAGCTACCTGGTGGTATATTTTAAATAACTTAGTCTTAATTACATCCTGTCTGATGTATGTATAATCGTCAAATCATAATGTTCCTTTGATTTACAGGTTCAGGTAAGTATGACGTATCTAAAATTACGCTATACCGTGTGGATTGTTGATGTATATGGAATCTGAATTCTTATCATCATGGTATTATTGTCGAGTCTGAATGATTCAATGACATGAAAAGTATTTTAATGAATGTTTTCATTTTGTCTGAAAAATTAAAGAAAGATTTCAATGAAGTGTAGTCTATTTAAGTGGAGTTTTCGGCCTCTACCAAGGAGAGATTCCTGACTTCAGAGTTTTGTTGTCATTCTTTTCGTCACCTTCAGTACAAAAAGTTTCAAACCATTGTTATGATAAACATTTAGTAAATCGCAAAATTTAATTCCATATTAGTTTATTAGATGTATCATACACTGCATGCATCACACTGGATGACAAGGTTTCGAACAAAATTTATTACTGTTCATAATCACATCAGTTATAATCACACGACTTCGAAACTTGAGTTTTATAGTTTTCTTTGTTCTCTCCTGTTTGTCGCAGGGGTAATAGTACTTTATATAACAAAGCTTGTTTCTAATTGAGTTTGGCATTCACACTCAAGCACTCATTTAGAAACAAGCTTTGTAGGTTAAAGGATCAATTCTATGGAGCCTTTAAAACAAAACAATTTAGTTTGTCTAATACCCTACTGGAATGATCGTCAGGTCAAAATAGTAGAATGGGGTCAGTCAGTCAGATTAGCCGAGCATAAAAACCTAGCAGGGAAATCTAGATTAGTTGACCCCAATAATAAGATAAAAAATCTAAAGAATAGTTCAGCTATACCACTAACTACATGCAGTTATTCACAACCATACACTATATGATGGTATAAGATGACAGTTTTAAAATCTAATTTAACAGGGAGGAGGGAAAGGAAGCCAGCGGGAACTTTGCTTATCAAATCAACTGACAGGGAGTATGTGTAATAGGAATGAGTCAACACCTGTCCATCCAGATATCTGGAGAATTCTACTACCCGAACGATGACAAATAGGAGACAAGAAAGAAAACTACAAAACTCAAGTTTCGAAGTCGTGTGATTATAATTGATGACATGATTATGAACGATAATAAATTTTTTTCGAAACCTTGTCATCCAGTAAATAATACTGTTTCAATCACTGTGTGATATATCCATATAATAAACAAACTAATATGGAATTACTTACTACCACACTGCCCAAGTTTTGCGCATAATTTAATCTTCTGTACTTTGATTAGATACTAGTTAGTAACTAGTATCATGCGTCTAATCCATTGTTTGATGCAAACATAGTTCTGTCAGTTAAGTTTGCAAAGTGGCCACCATACCACTAGGTGGCTCCTCACCACGGTATACTTCGAATCTTCATTATGGATAAGATTTCATTTTGATAAATCACACAGTGTTGTACAGTAATATTAACTGATGCCGTTTCGAGCACAAACTATGAGCAATAGTTTGTCATTGCAGTGTATTTTGTAACTTACATTATTTTGTTTTATTTTGTGAGTAGTGCCTTGATATGATTATGAACAGCCATAAATTGTGCTCGAAACGTGGTCGTATCAGTAAATATTACCGTATACCAGCACTGTGTGATTTTATCATAATAAAATCTTATCCATAATGGAGTTATACTCTACTACAGTGCCCAAAGGTTTTACTCATATCCATTAAAGACTATTTCTTCAAATCTGATTTAATTTCATAACATATTTCCCAGTGAATCGTTTCATTACACACAAACACACACCTTAAGTTAGTCACATAGATTTGCTGATAACATCATCTGAACGTTTTGAAAGCACTTGCTTGTTTCGAAGGTATAGAATTGTAATTGATGAGGTGACTAGGACACATTCAATTCTTTTGTTTTCTGAATTTTTCGATGAAATAACTAGCACAAAATATGCAAATGTAAGTAGTCATAATAAGTCAAGAAATGCTTCTCCATGTAAGAAGTGTTAAATCACCTTAACGTGAATACACAGTATAAATAACCAGATGTACAAATGAACTGTGAGAATATGAACAAAGCTTTCTTATCACTTATGGATACTGGAGGAGAATAATTTCAGTTAAGCGTTACTTTTTAGCTCAAGGTAAGTTGATTATTCCATGCTATTTACACTCCTATCAATAAATTCAGCAGTAATAGAGAGATTTTGTTCCAAGCTTAACCATGGATTGATATCAGTTAGAGAAATATTGAAAATCAGCACTCGAGTACTTGACAGATGTTTGATTAGCCTGGCTTGGAGCTCATCGGCAGTCCAAACCTACCGGTTGGTCACACTGAAATGATGAATTGGTAGAAGTTATAATTTATCGGCTGGTCACTGATGAGTTGGGTCCCAGTAGCTGAATGGTTTATAAGTGTTCTTTGTAACTGGAAGGTTGTAGGTTCGAACTCTAGCTGCGGATTTGTTGTACTGATGATGAGTCCCAACCTAGGACGAAACGTCTGTCAAGTATTGAATTGCTGGTTTTTAATCGTTTCGGAACCGATATCAATCCCTGATCAAACTTGAAACGAATCAGATGCCTAAAAACAAACTTTTGAAGAGAAGTTTCTCTCAGCACATTTCAATGGGCTGGTGTTTTAAGTAAATTGTTGCGTCGCACACAAGAGCCCAATTAAACATTCTACAGTGATAAGTTGTATGCTATGTCAAAAAGTTAAATAATAATATTGCAGTATTGTGATATTCAGCTTCACGAAAGTTGGTCATCGAAAATATCTGCAAATTGTAAATGAATCAGTTTTAGTGACATTGTATATTTCATCAATAATTCTGTTGAAGTCAGCTGACTACTTTCTCAAGTATTCGTTTGTATGGATTCGATTGATTAGTTATAGGATTTCATCATGAGCTGATATCAGCTAGAGAACCATTGGAAAACCAGTAATGGAGTACTGGAGAGCTGTTTCGTTCTAGTTCGGGACTCTTCAGCAGTACTCACTCACCGCCAGGCTTCCAACCAAGGACCTTTTAGTTACAAGGCGAGCTGGCTCGCAGACAATTAAGCCACTGGGACCCAATCCAATGACCAGCCGATGAATTCCGACTTCTCCTATTCACGATATATCGCGGTCGCTAGGCACTGTCTTCGGCAAGTATTTGCGCTCACATCCAACCTGCTACACTCTGCTGATCACGAATTCCCAATAGAACCCCAGGTAACTACCTACCTGAATAGAGCCAGTTGTCACTGGTGAGCATCTCATTGATTCTCAAGTATTGGTTTATACTCCCAGTACTCTCAGGTTTTCCAATGGTTCTCTAACTGATGTCAGCTCATAATGAAATCTTGTGATTGCTTTCTGTTAAGTTGTTAGGTTGAACGCGTAAATCTGATAAAGAAAGCAGACTCAACCTTCATCAGAAATTTGATTAGAAGCGGAGAACTTTCTTGAGCACCTCATACAACTTTCCTTCATAACAATACGCAATTCTATTTGGAAGGAAGGAAGTAAGGAAGGGAGGAATGAAGATGAAGTTAAGAAGATTGGAGGACGCTTATTCTTCCATTCTCAGGATTTTCACACAGGAATAACTCTAACAGTTTGACAACATTGTGAGAAAACTTCCTCAAGGTGTGGTGGATAAAGTGTGCCTGTTTTCTGTTGTTCGATTATGAAAACTTTTTTATTGCTATGCGTTACCAGTGGATCATAGGGCTTGCAAGCCAGAGCTTTGAAGTTTCGATAGCAGTGGTTTAAATTTTAAGTAGTGGGACTGCTAGTCTCACGCCTAACCTTCCCTCTTTAACAGAATTATTACCAGCTTAACGAGGGTTAGGAATGCCTCGGCCGGGGATCGAACCACAGACCACCTGCGTGGCTGACGAGCATTCTACCTCTGCGCCAACGACGCATGAAGACTTTAAGCAATTCATTGATTATTTTTATCACAGGACAGTGTTATTTATGCTCCACAACTTCAAATTGTTTTTGGACGTATACGGGGGAAACTGAGTTTACCTTCCCCAATCAGTATATGAGTGATACATCGTTCCTGTTGTCAACAGGTTTTCAAAACTCCATCTGTCTTTTTCTAATATGTAAAATGATGCACTTCAGTGGAATGACTAATCATTTTTCTCAACGTTTACCTTTCTTATTAAGCAGAATCACAATCAGGTTAGTTGGAGGACATATCTCACTTCATAATGTTAACATTTATAACATTTCGGGTGAAATTTAATGAAATTGAATGTAAATGCACACAAACTTCCATCTTTCACCTAGTTTAAACGCTAATCACTTACTTTACTATATTTTCTGTATTGCCAAGATTTATTGGTCTTCTAATAGTTAATGAATCATTCTAATTTTACTGCGAAGTGAATGCTTGAAAACCAGTGAAAAAAGAGCGTAAATCACGATATTTCTCAGTAAGTCAATGAAATAAGCAGTTGAAGACGAACACAGTTCTTCGGAAACTCTAGTACTGATTGTCAATAGTTCTTTAACTGATATCAGTCCAGAATCAAAACATGGAACGAATCAGATCCCTACAAACAAACTTGTGAAAAGAATTTAGTCCCAGCATACTTCGATGGACTGATGTTTTGAATAAATTGTTGGGTTGCATACGGTGAATCACTTGAAATTCCGTGGTGATAAGTTGTATGCCACGGGAAAAGGTTAAATAATCATACTGAAGTATTATGGCATTCAGATGCAGGTGAGTTGGTCACTGTAAATATCTGTCAATTGTAAATGAATCAATATTAGTGACACTGCATGTGTCATCAATAAGCGCGTTGAAGTCAACTGACGGCATTCTGTTAAGTTTTTAGGGCAAACGCGTAGGCCTGACAAAATCATCTGTCTTTAAAATTAGGGAAAATGTGATTCAAAATTCCTGAATCACACAGTTTCATTCTCAATAACGAATGATATGACATTATTGTAACCTGTCAAGTGTGGTTTTGAGAAAAGACTTTTGAACAAGCGAAAATTCGCGCATCTCATATTTGCAAATTTTCCTTGATAAATGAGCTGCCTAACATTCATACCATTTCCATTCTAATATTTCACCACCATGCTTTTATAAAGGTGGTAAGTTGAACTTTTACTGATGTATTCGAAAATCTGTCACAAGATTTTCTTCGATTTATTTCAAGAGCAATTCACGTTGTCATAGTCACCATCCTTGAAAATTAAATTTGAATGAATCCAGTAGTACAGCTTCTCACATTTTCACAGGTTGTCGGCTTTCTTAGAGGAAAATATGCTAGCATGATGGATACTTCCATAGTATGCTAAATGCATATTTCGACTCTTCTAAAGTATTAGTGACATTGTGCGGGATATCTTGTAGTGAAGGTTAGAATTCCATCGGTAAACTCTGTTCCACCAATATAGGAGATGCTTATTTGACTGTTACATTGACAAACTTGTGAGTTTCACTTTGGGTCATCACGCGTGCAAATGTCTGAAGATAGAAGTCATTTTCGTGGAAATGTAGTACTGAAACATGTAGAAACTAAAAATGAGTGATTTAGCGAAGAAACTCTTTTCAAGGGTTCTATTACTGTGTGGTTTTTAAATGCATATCCCATGAGTGTTTGCAACAATAGTTTTTTTTCCTTCACGTTCCCAGTGGAACATAGGGCTTCAATCTGATGACTTGAAGTTTCTGTAGCAGTGTTTATTTCACAGGATGCACAACCTTTCCTCTTCACCAGCATTATTTCTGGCTTAGCTAGGTAAAGGTGTGCGTCTGTGGCCGGAAATTGAACCCGGGACCATGTACATAGCCGTAGAGCGTCCTAACCGCTATGTCACCGCCGTTCCAACAATAGTTTGTATATATGGTATAATAATAGTAGTATGACACGTAACTAAAGTGTTTGTGATTACAATTACAGTTGAATTGTAAGCGGAAAATCGCAAAGCCAGGATAATATTTCAAAGGATATATGGATGATGGAAGGGTTGTGAAATTAGAGGATTAGTCGGCAAATATAAAGCGTTACATAACATGGTGTGAGACTTGAAAGTAGAATTTAACATTCCAAAACATTTTTCGATTTAAGAAGACAAGCTGGACAAGTGAAATAATACTGGGGACAATTCAGACTGAGAATAATCATAGTAGCGATCGACATTTATAACAGAAGGTTATGGAAATTGAATCAACATAAAGAAAAAAATAATTAGAACCAAATTACAAATGGGGACTGTCATACTCTAAGACAAACGGGTTAAGACCATGAGAGTTGGAGGGGTTGAACAAACTTCTTCTGTATACAGAGACCAGTCTTTTCTATTTCGATGACCGAAGCTTCAGTAATACAGCTGTGTCGGATATGTAATGATTTCGGAAAAGTATTATCCACCTCATAAATGACTTTATTGTAAGAGGCTGGAGAGATAAGGTGACCAGTATGGACTAGATATTCAGTGATTTAGGTGATTATAGCCCCACATCCACCTCTTCGTAACCATGCAGAATTGTGTTCTTGTACTATTTTGGACAAAATTCGAGTTGAATGACCAGTATGCCTAGCTCCACTCGCTCAGATGAATTGATAAACATATATGGCTTGATAATAAATTCTCTGCAAAGAGTTTCTTTGCTGAATCACTCGCTTCAATTTTCTATCAGTCATTTTCTCTCAGTTCTCTAGTCCGCGCAGTAGTAAATCATTATATTTTAAATCTTGAAAGTAATATCAGCTCCTCCAGGGGTATAGGTACTTTATGATGACGGGTATCAATGAGGATGAAATCGGAGATCCCCAGATTCCTGTCAACTAACTCATGTTTGAAATGAATTTTTGAGTTGCATACGGGAGCACAATTAAACATTCTAAAGTGATAAGTTGTGTGCCGTGGGAAAAGTTTAAATAATCATACTGAAGTATTGTGACATTTAGATGCCGTTAAGCTGGTTCTAGTGAGACCACACATATGATCCATAATTCTGTTGAAGTCAGCTGACTACTTTCTCAAGTATTCGTTTGTATGGATTCGATTGATTAGTTACAGGATTAAATCATGAGCTGATATCAGCTAGACATCCATTGGAAAACCAGTAATGGAGTACTGGAGAGCTGTTTCGTTCTAGTTCGGGACTGTTCAGCAGTACTCACTCACCACCAGGGTTCCAACCCAGGACCTTTTGGTTACAAGACGAGCTGGCTTGCAGACAATTAAGCCACTGGGACCCAATCCAATGACCAGCTGATGAATTCCGACTTCTGCCTATTCACGATATATTGCGGTCGCTAGGCACTGTATTCGGCAAGTATTTGCACTCACATCCAACCTGCTACACTCTGCTGATCACGAATTCCCACTAGAACCCCAGGTAACTACCTACCTGAATAGGGCCAGTTGTCACTAGTGAGCATCTCATTGATTCTCAAGTATTGGTTTGCACTTACAGTACTCTCAGGTTTACTAATGGTTCTCTAACTGATGTCAGCTCATGATGAAATCTTGTGATTGCTTTCTGTTAAGTTGTTAGGTTGAACGCGTAAATCTGATAAAGAAAGCAGACTCAACCTTCATCAGAAATTTGATTAGAAGCGGAGAACTTTCTTGAGCACCTCATACAACTTTCCTTCATAACAATACGCAATTCTATTTGGAAGGAAGGAAGGAAGTAAGGAAGGGAGGAATGAAGATGAAGTTAAGAAGAAGATTCTTCCTAACTCTTTCATCTAATTTAAATGCTAACCAGTTAATTTAGTATACTTTCAGTTGCCGTGAAATTCAATCGTCTTCTAAAAGGTAGTAAATCATTCTAATTTTATTGCGAAATTAATATTTGAAAATCACTGAAAAAAAGTGTAAATCACAATATTTCTTCAATAAGTCAATGGGAAATAAACTGTTAAAGACGAAGATAGTCCTACTTTATATAATCCTGTCTCAATGAACACTTTCTAAGCCTACTGATACATTGATTGGACATGCTTTTAGTGCTTTGTTTGATCCAGACTGAATTCTACCAGTCAAGTTTGAAATGTGGCCACCATGGGAACAGGTGACTCGCCATCTTGGTACACTCGAAATGTTGTCTTCAAAAATTTAAAGCAATTAGTTCCCTTTATGAATTTCGACAACACAATAAGAAGACGTAGTTTATCTGAAACGTGTAATGTATTGGCGCAACACATTTCGGACATTCTGATCACACTCACACGAGTACTTGTCATATACAGTTTTTATAGAAGGCAGGAAGGCATGAATAATTACATTACAGGTCAGATTGTGTACAGGTCAAGGTCACAAATAGTGGGTAGGGAGACGCAAAAGGTGGGGGTAAGAAAGAGAAAAAGAGAAAAAACAAGGCAAAGAAGGGGTTGAAAATATTATGAAGTAAATTGGTCCTTGGTTCTAAATTGGATTACCAAGGCAGGTTTAAGGTGATAAGAAATAACTTTTGGACATATAAGACAGGTTTAAGCCTTTTTATGGTTAAGGCTTCAATGAATCTAAGTATGTGCCCCAACCTTGTCTTATATATCGGCTTAAAGGCATTGTTAAAATCAACCTTATGACCCGTCTCTATAAAATGCTTCGCTATAGATGATGTTAGAAATCTATTTCCGGGGTCGATTGTGTCTGGCGATTTCATTTGTTATTGTTGCAGACACTTTGGAATGTGTTCTGTAGCCCTAACCTGCAGAGACCGATGGGTCTTCCCTATGTACGTGTCTTCACGCATGCATGTAAATTGATAAACACAGTGGGATGTGACACTATCGTTTGGATAATGTGAGGGTTTACAGGACAGCATAGTTCTCGTTTTCTCTGTAAAGATAAGTTTAGCTGCATAATGGCTGTTATTATATGGTTGGAATCAGTCAGCAGGAAGTCTTGCTTCACCTCGTCACCAAGACCAACAAGCAAGAAACTCAGGTCAAGCAAGGCTTCTTGCTGTCTGCCACCAACCATATAATAAGAAGAGTCCCGATAATGAGGATTAATGGACATCAGGAATTATGTATTCCCATAACAGCTTTGAAGCATCTCTCATCCGACTGACTAATTTATTCACTAAAAATACTTCACGAAGATGATTGGTTCAGTTCAAATTTTAAGAGCGAATCAATAATCAGTACTCGAATTTCCTACACACACTCTGTCTCCATACTTTTCGTACTTCAGCTAATCTTGGCTACAGATTCGGCTGATGATGATGTTTGGTTCAGTGACTGAAATCTAAGCCAAAATGGTTCCTACAGGAGCTTATATTGAATTTTTATATCCACGTCGAATACTCAAGTGTTGGTTTGTAGGGATTTGATTGGTTCACAGGATTTCATCAAGAGCTGACACTACTTAGAGAACCATTGGAAAACCTGGGAGTACTGGAAAACTGTTTCGTCCTAGTTTGGGACCCGTCGGCAGTACTCACCCACCGGGACTCACCCACATCGAATACTATTACTGGTGCTGAATCTTATGAATTGGCTTGTAGCACGTTGTTCAATCAGCTCTACACATGTCAGTAGATAATAGATGCTTTGTTATATGGAATGAGAAACAACCAAGTCAGCTTCTAAAGCTTTTCATTCCTCATTAATCTTTTCTTATACTTTCTTCTCTTGCTTCGCGTGCTACACGAGTGGCGACTTGAACTTCCGCACACTTCGCAAAGTTCTATGCGAAAACAGACAGACAGACAGACATTAATCAATCAATCACAAAATCGAATGCAACAAAACACGCATAGTTCATGTTGGAATTACATAATATTTATGCTAGTGAGTATTGCCTAAAGCTATTCCCGATTTGAAGTAGGCCAGTTTCCTATAAAAGCTGCCTTTCTCTTTTCCAATAATTCAGTTGTATTCAATCTTCGGTAAGTTAATCAACCATACTAAATTTCTCGTATTAGAGCAGATGTTGAAAGGCGTTTGATTGGTTAATTGAAAAGGTGATTTTGTTTTATCAAGAACCTTTATCAGATATGCTGTGCTACTTATTGTCCACCTCTTCACATCCATGAATTTAGAGAATAACACTGAGACATGGTCATAATCTAAGATGGCTTATGACTTCCAACTGGCGATGAAATTCAGTATTCAATCAGTAGAAACAACTTGGAGATTTTAGGAAGTAATTAACATATCAAGGAACCCAATCAACAGAATTGCACAAATCCATCCTTGAAGTGTGTGTGTGTGTTTGGTAATATAATATGTATTATTATTGCCCCTTGGGTTCCTAGTGGAACACAGGGCTTCAACTGCACGTCTCCACTTGCTTCTGTCTTCCTTCTGCTGTACTTTTCACCTCCATCCATGTTAGTTAGTCCATACTATTTCAACTCCTCTTCACACGATCTCCTCTATGTAAACCTTGCACTGACGTCCAACTCGCGCTTCCTTTTCGGCCTCGTTCCACTGGAGCCATGGCCTGACGCGCGCGCAATATCACCCAGCGACCTGGCCTCTTCAGCGAGTGTCAAATCCATCTCAACTTTCTCCTGCATATTTGTATATTTCGGCGATTGGTTATTGTTTTGTTTGTCTGTTACCATGGTTTCTTGTTGGTGATTCTTTCCGGCCCGGCCGGCCATCTGATCTTCAGTATAGAGCCAGCGAAAACAGTTGTTGGTTGATGAAGGTCTGCAACAGGCTGTTGGAAATATTCTTTGTGACCCACCCGCCAACTTTCTGATCCGTATAGAAGAACTGACTGACTGACTTGACGTTGTTCGTATTGAAAATCCGACCGAATTTTGTTGTTGATGCCAGCTGAGTGACGTGATGCTGATTTCCAGATTGGTTTCAGGTTGATGAATGTGTCTCTTGCCTTCCCGATTCGATTCTCGATTTGACATCCTCGTCCGTTCTGACTGCGTGTAGTTGAAACAATGCTCCCTAGGTAAGTGAATGAATGAGGTTACCTCTTTCAAATCCCTCCCGTTGATGGTGATTGGCGCTGGATAGTTCTGCTGCTGTTGATGTTGTTGTTGTTGGTTGGTTGGTTGGTTATTTTCATAACCTCCGTCTTGTCTATGTTCACCTGGAATCCTGACTTCGCCGGCTGCTTCTTCGACCAGTTAGTCGGTCGGTTTTCGCTTGTTAGTCTTCGATTTTGTGTGACATCAAACATTAATCATCCACGCGCGAAATCCAGGTCTAGGTTCTAGGTTCTTCACGTCGGTCCAGGATATCTCTGTCTTGTCGTTATTCAACTTCCACTATTGATTTCTGCTAAATGAAGATGTTCATATCATATCATATATAATATGATGCATCCAGTCTAACATTTGTCATAATTTTGATGAGAGGACGCCCCAAAGAAGAGTTCATTATGTTCTACATACAGACGCCAGCAGTTGGGCTAGCAACATAAAAGGCTTATTTATTGTGTGACCTTATATTTTGTCAACGCCAAACGTGTCGTTGGTTCAACGGAGGGACGCTTGGGAACCATGCAAATTGTACGTGTTTCGATCCTTATCTGACTTACTCCTAAACCCTGTTAAGCGAGTAATAAGACAGTCAAAGAGGGAAGGTTTGGAGTGAGGCTAGTAGCCCTATCCATTACAAATAAAACCAGAAATAGAAACCACTATTATTTCAACTTGATTCCATACTCATCCCGTTCACATTTGTCTTCGTTAAAGAAAAGAAACTATTCTATATAGTATGCAACTATTTTCTACGCCTGTGTAATTTTTATTTCTAAGCCTCTTGTAATCGATATATTCACACCTTGAAACTTTCATATCAAGTTAAAAATGATCATCACCTTTAATTTAAGTTATAACGTTATTACGTAGAATTAAACCATAATTGTATCAATGTAAACTTATATAATATAAATGCGATGGTATAGCCGCTTTTGAAAATGAAATTGCCGAAGAGGTGGTTGTCTTTTCTGAGCTTCTTGTTCATTTCTCTCTCCACGTTTTCGTCTAACGTTAAAGTCTCACCATTTTGTTAATCCTAATGCTGGTCGTAAAATAACAATCAGAAATAAGCTTATTTCATTTCAGTGCGTTAATGAAAAGGATTTTATAGTTTGGTGAAAAAAGTGATGGAAGTCATTTCAGTTTAAATTGCTATTCTTGTAGTGAGAGCTGTCTGCTAGCTGAGAATTGGTAGACAGCAATTTACGTCAATATTTAGGTCCCTAATATATTGGTCATGAGAAAAAAACAAGAACAAAGACCAACTCAACAACCAGTCACAGCTGACTTTGTTTGCGTAGGCGGATACGATTCGCAGATATATGGTCTGACCTTCAAAGAAATGGCCACAAAGAGATGACAGAATAACCTTCAGCGAGAAAACAACCAATCAAAAGGCGTTGCTTCTCTGCTAAAAATAACGAATAATAATGTACATAAAAATCTATAAATATTTGTTGATTTCCTCAGTGAACGATCTGTTGCCTGACCTTTGTCTTCTGTCATTACAGTACTACTGGTGACATTTCTCTGTTGTTGAAGATATATTCCAGTCAAATCTTTGTTCTTTTTTTTCATATTAAGCCTATATGTTGTACAAGTTTGGTAAGTGAAAACGCTTTGTTTTCGATGACCATCATGTCCTCAGTTTTGTCTGGCCGGAGTGAATGTTAATGTGAAGTCAGTAAGTTCTTCTATGCGGTTCATAGACTTGGTTAGTGCGTCACGAAATGTATGGATTCCCAACAGGCCAGTGCAGACGTTTATTACCAGCTTCCTTCGCTGCCTCCATAATGAATATCAGATAGCTGGTCAGAATCAACTGTCAGCAGGAGCGCCTGCTCAACAAATATATGGAATGAGATAGAGGTAGATTGGACACATGTCACTGAGGTCACCGTTGAATGACACCGCGAACCAGGTCATCACTCGAGTGCTACCTGGATGGGAAATGACCACTGGGGAATGGGTTCAATGTTATTAATAATAATAATGATTTACTTTATTCCAAAAACAGTACTTGTGATACAGGATGGAATTTTCAGCATTAATCACAATATTGCATCTAATTTCCTAAAATTATAAATATAAAATGAATCACACAGAAAATATTATAGAGAAGATTTGTAGCTCAGGTGGATGATTTTGGTGTGGTTTTGTTCTCTGAGCTGGATGGTTGGTTTGCGAAGCTTTCATCACCTTACTGGGTGGCATCTTCAGCGCATACTTCAATTTGAAGTGAGCTTTTAGATTTCTCCACGAGTTTATTAATCATCTCCCCTGGTGACCTTGGACGTGATTGGTTGTCTGTGTGTGTTTTCACACCTTCTAGGTTACTTGTATTGGAACCGGTTGTTTGTTTGACTTGAATTTTGACCCTTTGTCTGTGAAGTTTCTTTCTTATTGGTTGATAAATTTTGTCTATGTCGATGTGTCTATTGATTGATGATCCACTGGAATGCCAAGCTTCTAAAAATTCTCTAGCATTCTTGTTATTTCCTTTGTCTAATATTTGAACGTTGTCCCAGTCGAATTGATGTCCGTAGTTGTCTGTGTGTAGTGAAATGAGGGAGTGGATATCATGTCTTTTGACGGCTAGCTTATGTTCGTGGATACGAAGACGAAGGGGACGTCCACTTTGGCCGATGTAGTGTTTTTCGTAGTTGTTACAGTTTATTTTGTAGATGATGTTGGTTTTATCTTCTTTCTCTGTTGAGTCTTTTGGTTGACATAGAATTGAGTGAAGCGACTTTGTTGGTTTGTGTACGACGTCAACTCCTAAAGGTTTGATGAGTCTTGTAGTGATTTCGGAATCACTAAGACATGATATCCACTCCCTCATTTCACTACACACAGACAACTACGGACATCAATTCGACTGGGACAACGTTCAAATATTAGACAAAGGAAATAACAAGAATGCTAGAGAATTTTTAGAAGCTTGGCATTCCAGTGGATCATCAATCAATAGACACATCGACATAGACAAAATTTATCAACCAATAAGAAAGAAACTTCACAGACAAAGGGTCAAAATTCAAGTCAAACAAACAACCGGTTCCAATACAAGTAACCTAGAAGGTGTGAAAACACACACAGACAACCAATCACGTCCAAGGTCACCAGGGGAGATGATTAATAAACTCGTGGAGAAATCTAAAAGCTCACTTCAAATTGAAGTATGCGCTGAAGATGTCACCCAGTAAGGTGATGAAAGCTTCGCAAACCATCCAGCTCAGAGAACAAAACCACACCAAAATCACACAGAAAATCTTCCACATTTACAATAGGGGTAATGTCAAAAACATGCAGCATATAAAATGGAAATAGCAATAATAATGATAACAGCTAGGGTAATAATAATAATACAAGTGAGAATTTTTGTGGGCTTGTTTCACACAGTATTGGCAATGCGGTTTATAAATATTAGCATGTTTAAAAATATTGAATATGATGTTCTCTTTACATGATATGGTGAGGGGAAAAACAAAGATTACAGCAGTCATAGAGGTAAGTTGGTGTTTGCAATTATGAGGGTAAAACAAAGAAGCAACAGGACCATAAATATAATAGAAATAATAAAAGTAAAATCTGAAGGTATATAAGGATGGATGGATGGAGGAAATTGTTTATTTACTAGACGAAAAAAGGTTAGTTAATTCTTGCCTGACACTATTTTCACCACATAAAATACGTATCATAGAATTCTTATACTTAGACGTGCGAGCATACAGTTTTCTGAAGTTACTTCTTGTTCTACTTGAGGAGATGCAAGGTAAAAGCTGAGGGTAAAGTGGATGCTGCAAGTTAATTGCGTAATTATTTGCATTTCAAGTAAAAACTCCGAGCACCTCCAGGTTTTCTAATGGTTCTGAAACTGATACGCAGAAGATAGTGTGAGAAAGATGTGAGAGACTTTGGGAAGTCATGGTGGCAGGTGAAGGCGACCTGCATTCTACTCAGGACCCAAGGGGATAACGATAATCACGAAAAATACCCATTGAGTCATAAAGAAAATAAAAGACAGATTCAGCGAAGAAAATTCTCTTTATCGACGAAATCATCTTCACAGGCTGTACAGTCGTATTTATACTTACCAAAAAATATATAGTGGTCTATTATTGAGTAATAGGGGGTGACATAATTGATATAATTAATCATAAGTGGCTTTAGAAGTGACAATTAAAAGTTGTAAATTACATGGTACTCAGCGGAACAAAGATAGAAGTTTGATAAGGTTAAAATTGCTCTTGAGTGAGAATAAAGGTGGTAGTTGAGTGTCAATTTAACAAGTGTGAAGAGGGTGTGAAAATATACAAAAGGAGCATGTGAGATTGATAATAGTGAATTAATTATTAAAGCTAGTTTGGAGAATAGTATTTTACGGCCTACTATCGACAGTTTCCATCTGTACCAAAGATACATGGATGATGATATCAGTAAAAGACTTAAATGAAATTTAATTTATGAAAACGTTGACAAATATTACGTCCTGTTGACAGTATACCGTACTGATTTGTTATTAAACTAAAATCTACAAAGTGTGTATCTTTTAAGAACAGTGAGACATTATAAATGTACATCAGTTTCAGTCGATAAATCTAGACGTTTCCAAGTATTGATTTTTGTAAGGTGTTTTGTTTGTTTGGTTGAAAGATTTCATCATGAGCTGAAATCAGTTACAGAACCATTAGAAAACCTGGAAGTATTCAGAGTTTTGATTTGAAATGCTTGAAATAATCACGCTATTAACTTGTCTCTTTTAAATCCAAATGAAATGATGTACTTATTTGTTTGATTTTGACCGTCCGTCTTTGAACAGGTTGAGCTTTTGCAATCATTTCTCTGGAACAGTCAGATACCTGTTCAAATGGCTACCTCAAGAACTTGGTGGAAATCCTACGAGTATGGTATGACTATAATGCTTTTGAAAATTATGTTGATTTTTCACTTTGGTGATTGTTGTGTACAAACATTTTGCATACACTATCAATAACAACATTCAGTTCAGTTTCAATTCAATCTATACGTATAAGGGAACTGTGAATCAGGAGATGTATCTAGTGAAGTTTCCATAAATAAAGCATGACATGAGTTTTAAATATATAAAATTACGGCAAGGCTATTTGTAAGGCACTATGAATGTCCGGGCGAAAGGGACCTGAGGACGTAATATCAGATAACTAAGTCTCTATCCGGGAAGAGATCAACACAAGTGAAACCTATAAAAGACAGCCAAGAGAACCCCATTACCAAGAAAGAAAGACAGATTAAACAATGGGTGGACTCTTCAACGGACTTCAAAGGACTGCTGAACCGACCACCACCTGCAACCCGTCCAGAAATGCCAACAACAGCACGTACAAAAGTGCAAGTTGACGTCAATCCTCCAACGAAAGCTGAAGTCTCGAATGCAATCAAGCTTCTGAAAGCTGGAAAAGCAGCTGGACAGGATAGAATACCCCCTGAAGCACTGAAAGCGGGCCCAGAGACGACAGCAAATATGCTGACTCCATTATTGCAAAAGGTATGGAAGGAGGAAGAGGTGGCTACTGACTGGAGGAAAGGTTACCTCGTGAAACTACCAAAGAAGGCCGACTTAGGACTCTGCAAGAACTGGCGAGGAATCATAGTCCTATCGACGCCGAGTAAAATTCTGAGTTGCACCATCCTGGGGCGAATAAAGGACGCACTGGATACAGAATTCCGACCAGAACAAGCTGGATTCAGGAAAGGCAAATCACGTTCTGACCAAATTGCAACTCTACGCATCATCATCACAGAACAAAGCATGGAATGGCAATCAAACCTCTACCTCAACTTTATAGACTTTGAGAAGGCCTTCGACAGAGAGAGTTGACCGCGAAGTAACTTAAAAACTACTCTAGTACTACGGTGTACCCCAAATATTCATCAACCTTATTCAACAGCTAGCTGTACGACAATGGCACCTGTCAAGTGATCCACAACGGAAAACTCAGTGAGGCGTTTGGAGTAAACACAGGAGTCAGACAAGGCTGCCTGCCTATTATCACCATTGATATTCCAAATTAGGGTGGACTGGATTATGCATCAGACAGTGGGAAAAGAGAAGACAGGGATATCCTGGACCGACGTGAAGAACCTAGAACCTAGACCTGGATTTAGTGCGTGGATGACTTATGTTTGATGTCACACAAAATCGAAGACTAACAAGCGAAAACCGACCGACTAACTGGTCGAAGAAGCAGCCGGCGAAGTCAGGATTCCAGGTGAACATAGACAAGACGGAGGTTATGAAAATAACCAACCAACCAACCAACAACAACAACATCAACAGCAGCAGAACTATCCAGCGCCAATCACCATCAACGGGAGGGATTTGAAATAGGTAACCTCATTCATTCACTTATCTGGGGAGTATTGTCTCAACAACAGGCACTCGGAACGGACGAAGATGTCAAATCGAGAATCGAATCGGGAAGGCAAGAGACACATTCATCAACCTGAAACCAATCTGGAAATCAGCATCACGTCACTCAGCCAGCATCAACAACAAAATTCGGTCGGATTTTCAATACGAACAACGTCAAGTCAGTCAGTTCTTCTATACGGATCAGAAAGTTGGCGGGTGGGTCACAAAGAATATTTCCAACAGCCTGTTGCAGACCTTCATCAACCAACAACTGTCTTCGCTGGCTCTATACTGAAGATCAGATGGCCGGGCCGGAAAGAATCACCAACAAGAAACTATGGTAACAGACAAACAAAACAATAACCAATCGCCGAAATATACAAATATGCAGGAGAAAGTTGAGATGGATTTGACACTCGCTGAAGAGGCCAGGTCGCTGGGTGATATTGCGCGCGCGTCAGGCCATGGCTCGAGTGGAACGAGGCCGAAAAGGAAGCGTGAGTGGGACGTCAGTGCAAGGTTTACATAGAGGAGACCGTGTGAAGAGGAGTTGAAATAGTATGGACTAACTAACATGGATGGAGGTGAAAAGTACAGCAGAAGGAAGACAGAAGCAAGTGGAGACGTGCAGTTGAAGCCCTGTGTTCCACAAGGAACTCAAGGGAACATATATATATATATATATATGTACGTGGACTTGGACTTCTATCTCATTGGCTGTCGCGAGCATGGACTGTTTGCAACCTTGACAGAATTCGTATTGCGTATGACATCAATACTCATATTACGTAGTGTGTTTTGATAATTGTTTCATCAAGACCTACCTAAATAAAGAAGGATGATGTTTGCATTAAGGATGTGCGTAAATCGTAAACGACGAGTTACTACAGAACACAAGAACCGGGGAAGAAATCTTCTCTATTCATGACTTAACTTTAAGGCTGCTATACAGTGGGGGTGGGGTATGGTTTTATACACAAGGTGAATTGACAGCAGAGGTTAAAGGTTATTGCCAGTAAATGACGAATTATATCTAAGTGGACGATAAATAACTATGCTTGAAAAGCTAGTAATAGTCCGTCGTAAGTCATCAAGAGGGTTAAAAAATAATCAGTCAACTGATAAATAACCGTTTGGAAATGGTTGATGAGAGACAAGAGAAGAAGAGATTAGAAATGAGTTGTAGGCAAATAAACCAGACTACATACAGTCTACTATACAGTTATGTGTGTATATAAATGCGATTGTCCAGCTTTTTAGAATGAACTCGCCGAAAAGATAGTTGTCTCTGCTGAACTTCTTGTTCTTATCCCTCCAATGTTCCGATGGGTATTTTCCACGATTTGAAAGAATGAAAAATAAGAAAAGGAAAAAGAAGAAATAGTACAAAGGCCATTGTAGTAGTAGTAGTGTGGTCAGGGCTCTCTTCTAGCCACAACTAGTAGAGGGTAATTTGCGCCAATGTTTATGTCCCGAATATATGGGGTGTGAACAAAAAAATAGGAACAAAGACTGACTGACTCAACAACCAATCACAGCAGACTTTGTTTGCGTAGGCGGATGCAATTAGCAGATATATGGTCTGACCTAGAAAGTAACGGCCACAAAGAGAAACAACCACTCAGAAGACTGTGTTTGTCTGCTTACAATAATCTCTAATAATGTACGTAAAAATCTATAAATATGTGTCAATTTCCTTAGTAAACGATCAGTTGCCTGGCTCTTTTCTTCTGTTGTTACTGTATTAGTAGTATCGAAAGTAATAAAAGAAACGTTTGTGAAGACATGTTGATGAGAACATGGAGACAACGAATGTCCGGCTCGTACGGTATATGTAATTAGCTCGACATCAGTGGATGAGGTGATAATTGCACATCGAAAATTCCAACACAGGAATTTAGGCTTTGATGTTTTGTTGACGAAAAGCATGTTTTGAAAAAGATGAGGTGACGTGAGGTGTAGAGACGCAGCAGCAGCAGTAAACAACTCTCTTCGAATTTCTCTCGTGAGTCAGCTTTGGAGGTTCTTGGAAAATACCCATATGGACATTAGAAAGAAGAGAACACGAAGTTCAGCTTGCATTAACTTCGGCAAGTTTGACAGAGTAACGTAGAAACCCGTTGAGTTCCTTCACTGTCGAAGGGTCCTTGCTCTTTTTAAGTTCTTGGAAAATACCCATATGGACATTAGAAAGAAGAGAGGTGTTGACTAATTTTACATCCCTTCATTGAGTTTTGCATTTAGTTGTTTCTTCAGTATATTCAGGTTCGCAGGAGTATCCGTCTTTCTCTGTAAATGGTTGTTGATGAAGCAGGTTAGATGTTCCTCCTTGATTAGAGGTTTTGTGAAGGATTCCAAACGAAACTGTAAGTCTACATTGCATGGTGAAGCTCTGTTGTGAATTCTAATTTGAGTATTGGAAAGTTCAGAAAATTCATCGAGGAAGAATCTCCTCCGAGAGAAAGAGAATTCACTAATGGAAACCCATCATCTGTCGATAGGGCAAGATGGGTAAGTAAATTCTGAGCAAGCGCCTTGATTCCTGGTAAAATAGAAGTACTTGAAAACGGTTTCAGCTTAAATGTACTTGTTGACAGATTGAAACCTTAACACATTATTAATAGTATAGAAGTAGAAATAAATGAAATAGACAAAAACACCAGAGTATAGGAAGAAACGACATATCACAAAAAAAAATAGCCACTCCACAAAGCTCGAAGAACGACTTAAACGTAGTGATCGCAAACTCGGAAAATGGTAATACAACAGTAGTAGTGATGGTCAAATCAGACTACACAAACAATGAGATCTATTTGCTGACTCATTATAGGGGAAATTTAGAGTAGCCTGCCATTCGTAAAACTTTACAAAATTGAAAATGAAGCTCACTTCACAGCTATATGTGAATTACTGAAGTGGACTGAGGTTATCACAGTATGAATTCCATGGTTGAATTGATGTCGTTGAGAAGTTGTTACTCACAGACATCGAAATTTTAACTGCTTTTAGCATTGCGGAACAAGCAGATTATTCGAACTTCCTGAGTGACACAGTTTTATTCTCATTAACGAACGATATAACACCACTGTATCCTGAGAACTATCGTTTAAGAAAGGTTTTAATGTAACGAATATTCAACAATCTCATATTTGTAAATTTTACTTGATAAATGAGCTTTCTAAAAATAATCCTGTTTCTATTCTAATATTTCACCATCACGCTTTTATCAAGCAGGTAAGTTGAACTTTTACTTCTGTCACAAACAACTGTCAGTAAAAGTTATGTTCTTAAATACCCGACAATTAGTGTTGTCCGTTTTGTTTCCATCACAATATCCTCTTTGATTTATTTCAAGAGAAATTCACGGTGTCACAGTCAGGGTCTTTCAAAAGTGAATCTGAATGAATCCATGAGAACAGTCTGTCATATTTTCATTTGTGATTGATTTTTTTCGAGCGAAATCTACTCGCATTACTGAAAGTTTCCTGGATATTTTGACACTTCCAAAGTATTGGTGACGCTGTTTGGGATATTTTGTAGTTGAGGACAGAATTCCGTCGGTGAACACTGTTTTTGGGAATATAGGAGCTGCTTTTTATAGTGTTACAGTGGCATACGTCTCAGTTACACTTTCGGTCATCACGCATGCAAATATCTTAAGATAGATGTCATTTTTGTGGAAATGCAGCATTGGGACATGTAGAAACTAAAAAAGAGGTAATTCTGAGAATCAACTCTTTTCAAAAACTTTATTATGGTATGGTTTTGCGAAATCTTATTCCATGGGGATATTGAGTGATGTATGTTATTACTTTAAAGATTAATAATTTGAAATGTTATTAAAATGTTCGTGATTACGATCACAGTTAATTACCAAGTGGCAATTGGGAAATGAAATAATGTGATAAAATATATATCATAGGATATATGGATGATGGAAGCTGTGTGAAATTAGAGGATTAGTTGGCAAATATAAAACGTTGCATAACATAGAGTGAAATTTGAAAGTAGAATTTGACATTGAAGAACAATTTTTGGTTTAGAATGACGAGCTGGACGAGAGAAGCGATCACGGAAAGAGTGCAGAGTGAGAATATTAATGGTAAGAAATAACGTCATGAGGGAAGATTATATAAATTGAATGAACAGAAGGAAGAATAATTGGAGCCAAATTACAAATGGAGACTATTATAATCTAGGATAGACGGATTAACACCATGAGAGTTGGAGGGGTTAAACAAACTTCTTCTGCATACAGAGACCAGTCTTTTCTATTTCGATGACCGAAGCTTCAGTAATACAGCTGTGTCGGATGTGTAATGATTTCGGAAAAGTATTATCCACCTCATAAATGACTTTAGTGTAAGAGGCTGGAGAGATAAGGTGACCAGTATGGACTAGATATTCAGTGATTTAGGTGATTATAGCCCCACATCCACCTCTTCGTAACCATGCAGAATTGTGTTATTGTAGTATTTTGGACAAAATTCGAGTTGAGTGACCAGTATGCCTAGCTCCACTCGCTCAGATGAATTGATGAACATATATGGCTTGATAATAAATTCTCTGCAAAGAGTTTCTTTGCTGAATCACTCGCTTCAATTTTCTATTAGTCATTTTCTCTCATTTCTATAATAACTGCAGTAGTAAATCATTACATTTTGAATTTTGAAAAGAATATGAGTTCCTCCGACATACTAAAATTTACGCTATGATGACTAGTCTCACTGGGCTCGAAACGCAAGACCCGCAGCTTTTTGTTAATTGACTCCAACTACCTTACGTGAAACAGATTAAAATCCTGACCTTTTTTAATATTTGTCACTAAAACATATGAACATGACTATACAGTAATCCTTCATTTATCCCGAACCACTTTTGCTTTTTTAGGCGGCTCCCTGAGTGACCTCAGCAATCCAATATTGAATTCTCTATCACATATTATCATTCATACTCTCTGCTTTTCATTCAATGAACCAGTTTCGATTTGTTTGTTAAGAATTGCTTAACTGTCATTTCAACATGAGTTTTCACTATACTACTGAAATCATAATTCAGCAAACTATATCGCAGATATCTGCCGTAATCTCGATCAATAGACCAAATAATACACTCCATAAAATACAAGGCCGGACATCCATCACTCAACAGTATTGATTTAAAAATAGACGAGTTTTGATCTTAGTCCTCAGGTAAAGCAGTGTCTAAATAGAGGAAAATAGGCACAGACGTTTCCCCTTATATGAATATGAGTTTATATATTTAGGCTTTGTAATCATTCTCCCGACAAATGAAAAGGTAATGCTGAATACTAACTGTTATGGAGAAGAGTTACTCTTTCGTGGTTGTTGTCTAAATTGGCTTGAATAATCCTCCAGAAACTACAGTATAACCAACTAATCAATTGAAAATATCTCTCACAGAATGAGATAAACACAAATGCCAGATTTAACTGCGACAGCATCGACAAAGTTTTGTTATTCAAAATACATGGTATACATATCGTTTACAAAACCTCAGGAATCGAAGCCACTAATAAAAAAACAAATTTGATTGGGTGTATGAATAACAGTGCAAATCCTTAGAAATTCAAGCCAAAAATAAACTAATCAAAACTCTTCAGTCAGGTCGCCATATCAGTACATGCATAAAGCATGACTTCACGGTTGACAAAGAATGGTTGTCAATTCTAACATTAACTTGTCTGATATTAAACAGAAGGAAACAACTTTCTGAAGCTATTCAATAAGAAGATAGCACACTAGACAGTTTACACATATCCTTAAGGTGTCCTCTTATCGCAGTTCATGGAATAAGCAAGTGTTTTTATTCGTTAACGTCAGCACATACTCAACATCGTTAAAACATCATTCCATTTCCATGCGTTATGTATAGATCGTATAACAGACGAATATCGTGCAACAGAATTAGGTAAACAAATCGTCTGTGATTTCAATGCATAATATATACTAGTTGTAGTAGTGTATACACAGGAATTTAGCGCCAGTCCGTGGCAGTTTAAATGCATAGTTAACCAACCACTGAATAGAGGAATAACCGAATCATTATCTATAAATAGTTTGGGCCAGTTCTGTCGGTCTCTTCAGGTCACTAAGTAGAAATCTGCCTTCCGCTGATTTAAATAATGAGGGAATTAATATTTTGTTGTTAAAATGCTTGTTGTAATAGTAGACAATATTAGGTATTCATAAGTGAGGTAAATAAATGGGACAAATAAAAATGCGCATATATTTACCTTAGATTAACGAATGCAGAATTAATCTGCCTTTAATGCATCAGGTGAATGTTCCTTTTAAAAGCCGCTGGGTCCCAATGACTTAATGGTCTATGAGCTAGCTCACCTTGTAACCAGGAAGTGCTGGATTTGAACCCCGTCGTTAGGCCCGTACTGATGAATACTGCTAAACTAGGACAAAACAGCTGTCCAGTAATCCATTGCTGGCTTTCCAATGGTTCTCTAACTGATGTCAGCTCATGATAAAATCCTCCAACCTGCCAGACTAAATCCTTATAAACACCAATCCTTGAAAATCGATTTTTAGTTTAGTTTTGATTTTTCATGTCGATTGATTGAACTGAGATGTTCAACCTCTTTTGACATCTCAACTCTTAATGCAGATGCACTGACTACGGCTGAGGATTAACTTGAGGAAACTCGGTGAATAGTGAAATTCAGGATGCTCATTTCGTGCTATTTGGGAATTGTCATCTGGATGTTCCTTCGTTGCCCGGTGAGTCATACTGTCCCCGCTTCGGCTTTAGCATCCGAAACTGTGGCTGCTGGGTTCCAGCTTCAGTGGGACCATAATCACTCAGTGGAGAATGAAGACAAACCCAGATGACGAGTCCTGAACAGGATGAAACGTGCATGCTGGATCCCACTGCCAGTCTGACCACCCACTAAATTACTTCAAAGACAGATGACTTAAAGTTATCTTGTCTGGGCAAAGACAACATTGGAGTACTTTGTGGTTTGTCGTAGTATTTTCATCTGTTTGCGAGTCCTGAAATACATCGGTAATGTTGATCACTGAGTAGCGTTGTTTAGAAATAATGTGAGTTTGCAAAATAAATCTTAGATGTGACAACTAGAACGTAAAACATTCATCTTTATGGGATACAATAGTGTTATTTGAAATCTCGTGGTCATTTCATTCCGAAATATTTACGCTCCATACATTTAATTCTTCACAATTTTCTTTCTTTGTTTTCTGTTTAGAATGGTTAGGTGTCACATGAAGGCAGCTAGTAATCCTGCAATTCTGACAGAATTTTGAATTTAAAATGATTGAAATCTCTACCTTGCTTCCTTTTGCAAATGTCTCAGGTACTGAGTTCTTAGTCTGAAGTCATAATAGACGTAAAAAATAAAGTTTTACTGGATCAAATGGAGCTTTTTTGAATGGATATTTGTTAGTAACCAGTACCATGCATTGAGTCATTCGTTTAGTGCAGATTGAATGCAGTCATGATATTAGTCACTAACTAGTCTTCAAAGGAAGTATCCATTACTGTCTTATGAGACGCTGTCTATCATGACGCCGAAAAGCTCAATTCTGGGCTACTTGAGGAGGACCTATCTTCTTTCAAGACTGCAGATATTCCTTGCTAACTGGTGAGCGCCAACATGTAAAAAACGTAAGTCAGATAGGGCTTCCAAACATCTGAAAGTGGTACTTTAGTGAATGTGCGTAGGGAATGTCTGTCCTTCTGGAATCACAGTGCTAAACCGGTGTATACTTCCATATTCATAGTTCTCATATAGTTCAGCTCAATGTCAATCAGTCTACGTGTTTATGTTAACATTTATAGAATATTGTTTTTGCTGATTTCGTCAACACATTCTTCATTTTTGTGTCCTTATCAGTAATTCCATATTAGTTTGTTAATTAGATGTATCACACAGTCACAGAAACAGTATTATTTACTGGATGACGAAGTTTCGAACACAATTTATTATTATTCATAATCATATCACCAATTATAATCACACTACTTCGAAAATTTAGCTTTATAATTTTCTTTATTCTCTCCAATTTGTTGACGTTGGGGTAGTAGAATTTTCCATATATCTGGGATATGTGTGAAATCATCCCTATTACACGTACTCTGTTCTCAGTTGATTCGATAAACAAAGCCTCTGTTATCAATCTCGCCCTCCACCCTGTGATATTAGATTTCAAAACTGCCATCTTATCCCATGCTCCTATTGTATGGTTGTGTGTAACTGCATGTAGTTAGTGGTATTATTATTATTATATCCTTTAGTTCCTAGAGGAGCATAGGGCTTCAGCTGTGCGCCTCCATTGCCTTCTGTTTTCTTCCAACTTTTTCACCCGCTCCAAGTCCGCCCACATGGTTTCATCTCCTCCTCACATGACCTCCTCAATGTCACCCTCACCTTTGGACGACCAAGTCGCCGCTTTCCTTTCGGGTTCTACTCGAGCGATGGCTTGCCTAGTAATGTCACTCACTTGATAGCTTGTTTCCTCAGAGTATGGCCAGCCAATCCATTTCCATTTCTTCCTGCCTATTTGTTTCACAATCGGTTCCTGCTGGGTTGGTTCGCTCATTTCCAGAGATCCCTGTTGCTGATCTTTTCTTCCAGGACGTCTGATCTTGAGTATTGAGCAAAGAGAACTGCTAATGAAGGTCTGAAGTTTGTTTGAGTGCTCTTTATGACGCGCTGGCCAAGTTTCTGATCCGTATAATAAGTAGCACTGACTTCACATTGGAGTTGAAAATCCGGATGTTATATTTTTTGATGCTGAGTGCTGTTGACCTCCACACAGATTTGAGAGTAATGAAAGCTTGTCTTGCTTTTCCGATTCTGGCTTTGATATCCTCACCAGTTCCGCCTGTAGTTGGAACGACGCTTTCCAGGTAGGTGGTAGGTAAAGGAGGTTGTTTCTTTCAGGTTCCTTCCATTTATGCTGGCTGATTGTTGTCTGTTGTTGTTGTTGTTGCTGTTGGTGTTGGCAGGAATCTTCATCACTTTTGTTTTATCTATGTTCACGTGAAGTCCTATCTTTGATGCTTCTTCTGCCAACTTGTTACTTTTCACTTGCATATCTTCCAGTTTATGGGAAATCAGACATATATCATCGGCGAAATCCAGATCCTCCAAGTCTTTTGTGTCAGTCCATTTTATGCCTGTTCCCTCGTTGGTTGCCGTTGTCTGTCGCATTATCCAATCAATTGCAATCAGGAAGATCATTGGTGATAGTAGACAGCCTTGCCTCACTCCCGTCCTCACTTCGAAGGCTTCCGTAAGTTTCCCGTTGTGGATTACTTGGCATGCAGCATTGTCGTATAACTGTTGGATGAGGTGTATAATTGTCGATGGGACCCCGTAGTAGCGAAGTAGTTTCCAAATGACCTCTCGATCGACGCTGTCGAAGGCCTTTTCAAAGTCGATGAAGTTGAGATAGAGAGGTGACTGCCATTCCAAGCTTTGTTCAATGATGATCCGTAGAGTGGCGATTTGATCAATACATGATTTGTTTCTCCTGAATCCAGCCTGTTCCGGACGAAGTTTTTCATCTAGGGCTTGTTTGATTCTCTCCAGGATGATGCGACTTAGTATCTTGCTTGGAATGGACAGAAGCATAATTCCACGCCAGTTTTTACATTGACTTAAGTCTCCTTTCTTTGGAAGTTTGAATAAGTAACTGTTCTTCCAATCCTCGGGTACTTTGCCCTCTTTCCACACCTTCTCCAGCAGTGGTGTCATCAAGTCCGCTGTTGTCTCTGGGTCTATTTTCAAAGCCTCTGCTGGGATTCCATCTGGTCCCGGTGTTTTCCCAGCTTTAAGCATCTTGATTGCATTCAGGACTTCTGATTTCGTCGGGGGGTCAGTGTTCACTGGTAGTTCTGCTTCCGTTGTTGGTATTGCTGGACGTGTTGTAGGTGGCGGACGATTTAGAAGTCTTTTGAAGTGTTCAACCCAGTGCTTTCTCTGTTCCACCTCTTTGGTGATTGACTTTCCATTGTCGTCCTTTATTGGCTTAATCTGTGTCGAACGTTTGCCCGAAAGGTTCCTAGTTGTTTGGTAGAGTGTGGCGAGGTCTCCTTTGCCTGCAGCTTGTTCTGCTTCGTTTGCCATGGTTTCATAATATTTTCTTTTGTCTTCCCTGGCACTTTTCTTCACTCTTTTGTTCAGTGTATTGTAGCTTGCATTCAGCTCCTGTTTTTGTTGCTCGTCAGTGCACTGGATAATCTTTTGCTTCACTGTCCTTCTCTCTTCTATTAGTTTCCAAGTGTCCGTAGTGAGCCACTGTTTGTCCTGTCTCTTTTTTCTGCCTAGAATTTCTATGCAGGTTTGGCTCCACACCGTTTTCAAGTTGTTCCAGTGCTTTTCGACGCTGACCTTTTCGCTGGTGTTGATTTGTGTCTCAGCTTTGTCCTTTATGCTTGCAATGAAGATGTCCTTTGTAGCCTGGTCCTTCAGCTTTTGAGTGTTGAACTTGGCTTGTGGTCTATCTGCAGCTCCTGATTCCCTGAAAGCTTTTAATTTGATTTGGATTGTCCCTTGTACGAGATAGTGGTCTGAGCCAACGTCTGCTCCTCTTCTTGCTTTTGTGTCCAGTAGGCTGCGCCTCCACTTCCTTGAGATTGAGATGAAGTCGATTTGGTTTTTGGTTTGCCCGTCTGGTGACACCCATGTAGCCTTGTGGATATCTTTGTGCTTGTATACACTGCCACCAATCACCAGTTCGTTGAAGGCGCAGAAGTCGGCGAAGAGTTCTCCGTTTTCATTCATTTCTCCTAGAGCTTCTCTACCCATGATGAGTTCCCTTCCTGTATTGTCTGGTCCCAGTTTGGCGTTCATGTCTCCCATTAGTATTTTCATGTCGCCAGCTGGAGTATTGTCCATTGTTGCCTGTAGTTGCCTGTAGAATTCTTCTTTCTTTTCGAGGTCTGCGTTGTTTGTGGGTGCATAACATTGTATGATTGACACTTTCCTTCCTTTGGAGTTGAATCTGGCGGTCATTATCCTGGACGAAATCGCCTCCCATTGTATCAGGGCTTTCGTTGCCGTTGGTGACATCATGATAGCCACGCCCTCGGTGTGCGTGTGGTTATCTTCTGGGTGACCGGAGTAGATCACTGACTCACCCGTTGACAACTCAGCTGTACCACAGTTAGTTGTAAATTGTTTTGTTTTAAAGGCTCCACAGGATTGATCTTTTAACCAGCAAAGCTTGTTTCTAATTGAGATTTTGGGTTTGAATGTTGGTCACCTGTATTCCCCCTTGTTAAGAATTCTGTGTAAGGTGGTTTCCGAGGTTCCTTCCTTGTATGGAATTACTACTGATGATTTAGATTCTTTATTGTTGGTGTTGTCTTGCGCATATTTGACATGCATGTCGTCATTAAAATTATTATTATTACCACTATCACTACTATCATTATTTATTTTATTTTTACATTTCCTTACATATTTCTTGACTAATTTATCAGAGTCCAGTGTATTATAACAGTAAATAATACTATTTCACTGACTGTGTGATATATTCATCTAATAATCAAACTAATATGGAATTACTTACTACCACAGTTCACAAGTCTTACACATATATCCACATCAGTTAAATAATATTTCGTTGGTATTGTCGAAATCAATGCTTTATGTAACGTCGAATCATTAGGACAAGTTGATTACAGCCGAGAACCTGCGTATACGATCATGTGAATAAATATATAACACTAAACTGAGCATCAGGTGAATTAAGGAAATTAAGAGACATTTTATGAATGTATAGGTTCCACAGCAGATTGGGTTGGCAATCGTGATTGGCCTAAACACATAAAACTTGTTCCCTCCCTAAGCTTCTCAAATTATCCAAAGTAGTTTGCTTACAAACAGGGTAGAAGTACTTTAGATGCTGCTGCTGTGTTTCATCACAACATTGTATCCTCCTTAGACATAGGGGCCAAGTATGTTCGTTGTATGTTCCTTGATTACACATCTGCTTTCGACTCTGTACCTAGAGGCCTTTTGTTAAACAAGCTTAGCCTCACACAAACTGAGTCCTGGGCTATCAACTGGCTGCACTCTTACTTCTCCAATAGGATGCAGTACACAGTATATAATGGTGTATCTTCCTCTCCTTTGCTTACTGAAGCTGGAGTTCCTCAGGGTGCTGTTCTCTCTCCGTTTCTCTTTTCCTTCTTCTCACATGACGTAACTCTCTCAGACGAAATCAACTTCGTCAAATATGCAGA